TAATGATCGATATATTATTATATATCGATAAATAATGTACTAACAATAATCGATTATTATCGATATGGATGTTTATCAAAGATTATTGGAGTTGTCGATTAATATCGATATCTTAGAGAGATATCTATCGATTTTTACAGATATGGCGATGATTCTCGATGAATATCTTCCCAAAAAATTTCCTGATGAATCTTTTTCTCCTTGGATTTGCTATTGCCCTACTTGATCCATCAATCATTACTTCAGAATCTTTTGGTGGTGACGGATCAATCTCTTTTCCTTTCCCTTTTCTTGTGTTGAGTTGCTACTATCCACTTCTTTGGGTAGTAATCTTTTTGTCTTTGGATTTGGATTTGATCCATCAATTATTACTTCAGAATCTTTTGATGGTGATGGATCAATCTCTTTTCCCTTACCCTTTTCTCTATTTCTATCTCAACCTCCTTCGTGTTAGTAATATTTGTTGCAGTACTAGTTGACATTTGTGTTGAGTTGTTATCCGCTGGTGCTTGTGTTGAGCCGCTACTATCCACTTCTGTCTGCGTAGCGATTGAACGTTGCCTTGAGACACCTAACATGCGACATAAACCAATAAATTTCATCGTTGCCCATTCCTTAATATTTTGGATTAAATGAGAGTGATGATAACGAGGTCTATCATTATTATTATTATTGTTGTTGTTGTCGTCTTGATAAGGGATTGCATCGATATGCTGACGAACATGTCTAATGGGACCTATCTCACCGCTGCCATTTGCTGGAGTACTCGATCTTTCATTATCATTTACAAACGATCAGACGGCAGTGAACCAGTGCTTTCAGGTTGAATTGAAAGCTCTTGATTGCTGGTTCCTAGTACGATATCTATGTCGTGCAGATTCTTTATGTAAAGACATTTTTGGAGCCTTTTGTTCTTTGTTCAATATTTATTATTGTCGCCGCTGCGATATTGTTTTTATGTGCGAAATTTAATCGCTTTTATTTTTAATAGTCGATAATAATAGATAAGTGACGGGTGGGCTAGATAGAAAATATGTACGGAGCAAATGTGATATGAGCTATCAAAAATGTGGTTCTATTTAATTATTGTAAGATTTTGATTTGATTTATGCTTTTCATCTCTATATATATGTAATATATGTTTGATTGTGTGCGGATGGCTATGCAACCCATGCACACGAAAAAATGTAAATCACGAAAGCTTTATGATTCTAATTACATGTACCATGCGTTAAGCCAGCCCCCAGATAGCCAAGTTAACTTCACGAATATCGTGTTGATTACTATTTTTTCCCAATATGACGCATATAATATTAATACTATTTTTGCAAGATATCACGTGATCATTATTTTCCCAACATGACGTAATAATATTAATACTGTGGGAATAATATAAATTCCAATATTGATATGGTTGTTCAAACATGGGACCTCAAAAAATTATTAATCATCGCATAATAAACAAATGCGTCACAACAAATATTCCCACAAACATACGATTGATTTATGTTTCATGCGTCTCATTTGCTTTTCTCTTTACTTTCTTCTCTCTCTACTCATTTTTTTTGTCTATTTTGTTTGTTAGCTTTACTTTCCCTCGCTATTGTCCATTTGCTATCTCGCCTATCCGCTCTCTCGCGCCCTCTTTCTTGCCCACGCTCGCTTGTCACTCGCTTCGCCTTGGTTCACTCGCCTACTCGGTCTTGTTCACTTTTGCTTGCCTACACCTATTCCCGCTCTTGCCTACACTCACTTGCCCCTCGCTTTTCATTAGGTTTATTGATAAGCGGATGCAGTATAGTCGGTTTTAATAAGAGGTATGTATAGTTGCTATCATACGAACGGGGTGTTAGGGTTTTCTGAAAAGGTGATTAGTCGTATAAAGGAATAGATTACGTCTATTGATCGGAGTCATCAGAGGGTGTAGTCCGGAATATATCTAATGGTGATGACGTGGCACTATATGATGGTCGCCGATTCCATTCGATCTTTTGACTAACATCCTTTGTTTAACCAAAAGGGATAATGGATATCTTCCTAATGTATTACGATATGCGAATGGCGTAGTTGAAGGATGCCAAGTCTATTCAATCTTTGAAGTGTGAGTTTATAGTTGCTTATTTTTTTTTCGTTGCACATCAGATCTATCCTGAGGAATAAATTCAAAAATGAAAAAAAGTGGTTTTTTAAACTTTTCAAAGTTACTTTTCCCAGTGGACAATTTGGAAATAGCACTCTACGAGGTTTATTTTTATATATTTTTGAGCTCACCTTTATTAAGTAAAGGTTCGGCAAAAGTACAATATTTTCCAAATGAATGATTTCCACATGTACAGCATTCTAAATACACGAAATCTCACACAAATTACATGAGTCTTTTAATCAAACAACCTCCATCCCAATTGTAACCGCAATAGATCTTTGTCAACATCGCATATGCTGTGCGATCTTGAAACGGAGCCGACGCTTTCCGTGATTATCTCCTAAATCAGAACTCAAATTTTTTGGAAATTTTTTGGACGCTTATCAAAGTTTATAAAGGGTGAGTCTAAACTGTATATTGTCAAGTTCGTTGGGTTATGTCAAGTTGTTGTGTATCTGAAGCTACGCTGCCACATTGATCTTGGGAATTGAAAGTGCATCGTGACCACTTTTGATAATGAATGTTCTTCCCAGTTTGAGATGTTCCCGTACAGTGCCCACATCTAGTAAAATGACTGGGAATCATTTATACTTACGATGATGAAGACATGCTCAACACCACTTAATAGTTTATTCCGGAAAAAGTCCATACGAGGTTGGATTGTCAGTTGCTGAGGGTATAGCTTTAATCAAATCGCTTAGCTTGCGGGCTGTTATATTTACGTATTCGCTACGTATTATCATGATATTTTTGACTCTGCGCAACCTACCCAGGGACCTCTTCTGAATAAAATACAACCATTAAGAATCTGAGATCTATGCATTTGGTTTATGAATTGTCGGGCGTCGGAATATTTGTCACGTCTATTGTTTTTATTGCCACTTTGAAGGAAATGAAAACCTCAATTCTAATCTTTTTGATGAATATTTCAAAAGTGTTCTCGTTTATTCCAGGAACTAGTATTTAAAAGCTGTCCTACTCTTAGGTGGGAATTTAAAAGAACCCTTGTTTTTCGTGTATTTCGAAAGTAAAGCATTCTCCGTTAATAAGACCTTTCCTGGTAATTTTTGTTCATATGTATGCCCGAATCGGGTCACTAAATGCCACTCATTGAGTATTCAACTCCTGATACAAATTCAGAGATAATAACAAATTAAGACGAACGTAAAATGTTTTGGTACATTATACATACATATAGCAATATAATGACAACATTAAATTTGAACTTAAATTTTTTAAATTCACTACAAAAACTCGAGTGTATATTGGGTCAATATCGATCGATTTGATCGTGCATACAGAGTACATTAAGATATAAAAGGTCTAGAGTTGAGAAAGAGAAGTTTTATATTTTCGGAAACGAACAATTTTCGCGAATGATAGCATAAAATATCTTAATAAATCTTTTTTTGTACATGTAATACATGTATATGCCTGATATTTTTAGAGGAAGTACATGTATATGTTCTTATGTTTGCTGATCTTTTATTGTTAAGGAGCGAAGTGCCATTAGATGGGGTGTTTATATTTCCGAGAATCTTCAGGGAATGCTACAAACAATCCGACTTTCTTCTTAAATGGCATTTTTTTAAGTATAAATCCTCGCCGCCTTTCTAAATTTTATTTAGTTAATGCTATAAAATTAAAGCTTGCAATTTTATTAATTAACAATGGGAATACAATTCTTAAACCACGGCCAAAGCTCTATATAACGAACCCTTATCGTTATGTAGCGAAATTTTGATTATTGCGAACTTTTTCAAAAACACTAACTATAATAAAAGCGCTTGATCGTTAAAGAGCTTTGACTGACTGTATACATGTTTCTATGATAATTAAAAATAAAATAAGATCCTGAACTATATATACTCAGTATATGTTAATATTTAGATAGTATATGTATACGTTTTCAATTTTCTTTTAGACTTTTCAAATTGAAGAAGTATTGTGGCAAATTTTACAATCTATCGCTTCTATGAAAATATGATTGATTTTCGAATAACGATATTAATAATTTTGGAAATACGCAGTAAGTGTAATATGCTTTTTTAAATTAAGTTTTATTATCCCAATTACATGTACATGTATATATAGATTATGTACTGGCAATATTTGTACAAAGAAAAATTCTAATTACTCAAAATTAAATGATTTTCTATAATAAATTTAATTCAATCGGAAACGAGCTAATAATTAAATTGTCGTTTCGAAAGAAAAAAGTAAAAGAAAGTAATATTTTGAATATAAAAAGCAATTTGCTTTATTTTATTGGTGCAAATCCAACGGCAAGCTGTTTAATGTCGTAGGCACTATACACGTTCTTGAGGAAAGTATCACCGACTAACCACTGATCATTTCCACCGATATTACCACCAGCAATGCCAGAAACACACATATCACCTTGATTCGTTGGTTCACGAGCTAGATCTTTTGGTGAGATTTTATAGGTAACTCCACCGAAAGTGAGAGCAATGACAGCGTCAGTTTTGCATGGGACGAAATATTCACCTTGTTGAGAAACGGCACCTTTAATTGCTTTGTGTATAGCATCAGCGTCGGCGGGAGGGGCGATGAGAAGCGTCGTGCCAGTATCAATGATGGCAGTTTTTTTGCTGAATCCAAGGGGCTTGCCGTTAACGCTGGCATCGTCCAAAGCGATCTCCCAGAAACCAACACTATTCACAAGTTTATTATATTTGAGTTGACCAGTAAATTTTGAAGAGTCAACACCACCAAGAGTTAATTGGCTGTTGCTGCCGTCTTTTTGACGTCCGAGGAAGAAGCCAAATACTGAATCTTTAACTGCGTTTTGGGCAACAAGCTGAGTGAAAGGTGTTTTTGCCTTTTGTGTGCTTATTTGATCAAGAGCCATTCCGAGTATTCCATCGGCTTCATCCGTCCTAAAGTCATCTGACATTTTTGTTGAAAGTCCAAAGGTTTGACCTTTTGACACTGCACCGGCGACTGAAACATCATCCACGGCAATAATACCAGAAACTTCACCAGTACCATATTTAATTTCGAATGGTTTATTATCACTCTTAAATCCTTTGCTCTTTTTCGGATCATACGATTTGTGAGCTTTGCAAGCTGCATCGGTACATGCTTGTGATGGCACCCAAAGATCAGATGAACCAGTATCGAATATTACAGTAAACGTTTGTCCGCCTATTTCAATTGGTCCTTGATATCCAATGTCAAATCCTTCATCTTTCAGAGGATCGTCGACAACGCCTCCATTGCCTGTATTACTACCGGAATTATCAGGCTGACCATTGTTGGGATTGTTATTATCTTTACCGCCATTCTTGTTACCATCGCCGTTTTTTCCGTGTTTTCCTTTTTTGCTTTTGCTAGCAAGATCGTTGCTGCTGACGCCATTGCTATCATCAGTATTGCTACTATTAGTCTTAAAATTAGAATTAATGATGAAAGTTTTCGGTGAGGAAGCACCAAATACTGGAGCGGAGGCAGCATCTAATTTTACGATTGCTTCTTGACCAACTAAACCGTGACTAAATGCCAATCGAATATTCTTCGAATATTTTAATAATGCATAATTTTTACTGATCTTTGACTTTTGGAGCCAAGTATAAGAATCGGGTAAATCATTTTTCTTCAATTCAAGTTGAACTACGGATGGTTGCGAGGCGGGTGCTGCTTCGGTGGTTAACGAAATAGCTGCCATCAAGAGAGCCAACGCTGTAAAAACCTTCATTTTATCTTTTTCAAAAAATGATTAATGTGTAATTCGGGAATGTGGATCGAAAGGAGTGCGGAATAAATGAATATGTTTTTAGGATTTTTCGAAAAAGAAAGTGTTTTTTAGAGATTACAATAAGATACAGAAGACCAGTCTGTATCTTAAAAATGTAATGTGTATATAGAAGGAAGGAATGAGGTTTTTTGGTAAGCAACTCTTGTTTGAATTTGCGACAAAAATCAAATTGATCGAAGAAACGCGACCCTTTTATACATTATTTCTCGATACATGTATGTAATGCATTGCAACAATATGTATGCATTGCATTCGGCCATTTTAAACTACATGTAGTGCACATTTATTGAACAAAATTAGATTTCTTAACTCTCGGGTTTAAGTGTGACTGATTTGCATATCAACTTCAAATACTGCATACATGTACATGTATCTTGCATACAGATTGATTAACTCGGCTTTAAGAATGTCATACAATACATGTAATAAGCCGATAGCTTAGATTTTGAAGTTCCATAATTTCGAATGATTAATCAATAGTAAATTAATTAAAATGACAAAAACAAAAAATTCCGAATAAAGAAAAATTTATTTAATTGTAACCCCAAAATCTGTGTCTTTTAACTTATATATGTATTTTTCGTTCTTAAATTTTGAAGTTTAAAATTTTGAAGTTATAAATATTGAAATTTATACATTGTATTTTATTATGTAAAATATAGGATGTTAAAAATCGAGTTTACAAACACAAATGGAAGTTCGATATGATGCTTTTTTCTATATAATTAAAATTTTAAAAATGGATTAAACAGTCTAAATGCAGTATACACATGTATTTCGATTACGCGCATGCGCGTTACAGCAATCTTTGCCTTATTGGTGACACAATACCGACATTAAACAGTCTATTCTTTGGTCAAAATGCGATCCTTTATCTCACAATATCGCAACAAAAATAAACTCCATTGGAAACCTCATGATTCCAATCATACTTCTGTTACTCATATCTAACAATAACGAAAATGGTGAATTGTTCCGATTTTCGGCTGTCAAAATTATGATGATGCTCAGTTTCGCGTTTATGTTATTAAGCTTTTCATTTTTATCAAGCCTCTTTTTTTTTCTTGTACCATATGACTGACGAACACACAATACGTACAGTCAGCACGGAAAGTAATGGCGGACGAATTTTTTCAAAAAAAAATTTTATTTCCGAAATATGATTAAGTAGGGCAACATGCCCACATAAAATATTAATATTGAGTATTTCCTCCCCCCTTGTCAATACAGGCTTGAACGCGGTCCAGCATACTGCTGATACAGTTAAAGATCAGCTCCTCGGGAAGATTTATCCACTCATTCTCCACTAACGCGATAAAAGCCTCCTGTGACACCGATTTTTTTTTTTGAGCGACAATTTTTTTTTACCTTTTTTTCAACATTCCGTTTAAGAAATGACCAGATGGTTAGATCGGGCTGTATGACGGCCACGGAAGAACGCGTCCCGGCAGCCGAGCTTTGAGATCATTCTTTACATCATTTGAGCGGTGCCAACGACCGTACATGTTTGTTGCATTGTCATACAAGTGATTATTAAGAATTTCGCGGTACAGATGCCGATTCATGTTTTGTGTAAATGTGCACATCCCAACTTTTCCACGTGCACAAATCGCTCCCCACATACGGAGTTTGAACGGGTGTTTTACCATTGGTGCAACAGCTTTTTCATGCGATCACGCCAGGCAAGTGTTTCGGGATAATTGCAGAGTTGTTTCATCGGAAAATACAACCTTGTGCCAGTTATAATCAAGATGATTGCTGGCCCATTGAAATCGGTCTTCTTTGGCTTGAGGGGTAAGAAGAGGAACGCGTCTTGGCAAGGAAGCAACATAACCGAGCCTAGAAAGCTCGTCACGGACCTACTTCGAATCCTGGATGTGTTTCTTCGAGCCGCGCTTTGATTTCAGCCGCTGTACGGAAATGATTTGAATTTACGATTTGGCCGATGTGGCGGCGCATAGTAGGCGAAATTTTATGTGGACGACCAGGACGACGAATATCCGGAATTTGTCCATTTTTACGAAGCGAAGCCACGTAACGTTCACAAGAGCGAAGTGGAATACCAGTTTTTTGCGAAATTTCTCTAGCATTACGCAAGTCATTTCGCCAAAATCTCTTGTGGTCTCACGATTGAATTTTACGGGGTTGTCGGACATTTTTACATTTTGGTTACAAATCAAATAAAGAATGATGTGTAACATGTTAAAAATGTTGCACATTTTTGCACAAGGTCGATCGCTTTCTGGCAGACGAAAAATTCAGCAGTCAGTATCACCGCCATTACTTTCCGTGCTGACTGTAAGTTTTCACGTGGCTATTAGGAAGAGCATGCATGCATCTTTTTCTTTTCAATAGTCAAATAAAGAGAGGAAATGAATGCATAATTTTATTTGATATGCGCATATACTTCTACAATTTGAACTGTGTTAAATGTTTCAATTCATATGTAAACTTAAATATCTTAAATTGATGTTGGCTAAATAAATATCATAAGAAAGTTAAAGAACGAGAATAAGAAATTAATGAAAATAGAACGAACAGAAACGAACAGAAAGATCGTATGAACCAATGAAAATATCTTCAAATAAAAGAATTTATAATATTGCGAGGAAATATTAGGAATCACTTATGACTCTCTTCTATTTTATATGAATTTGATGTATTATATAAATGGATTCGATTAGGAATGAGAAAGATGTATTATATAAAAAGATTCGATAAATGAGAAAAGATTGGCTTATGCCTAAATTTTTTTCTAAATTGTTATGTTTGGCAATTATATTATATATCGATAGAATACTTCAAAAATATTATATTGTATTAGATAAATAATGGGATATATATATATCATTAGCATTATTTGCATATAAAATACTTTGAAATAATATTACAAAATATAAATCTTTCTTCTTGACCTATAGAAAAAATATTATGCGTATGTATGCGTTAATCGGTATTATTAAGGGAAATATTGTCATGTATCGGTAGTAGATTATCACAAATAACGTCTGATAAATTATATTGTGAAGTTATTGGAATACTAATGATGAATAGTGTAGAAGTTGTATCGATTATGTGGTTTTCACTATCCGTGCCATTATATTCATTGTTGTTATTGTTTCCAATATTATTTTCAACAAAAAAATAATCGGCTTCAAATGAAATCGAAAGTTGATTGCTATCGTTATACGCGACGTCGATCGAATTTTGTCCATTATTGATTGTAATTTCTTTGTGGTCACATACGGATGTCAAGGTGTTTTGATTTTGATAATTAAATGCTGAAATTGCAGATTTTAGAGATGGCAGCCCGTGTATGGTTTTCCGAGATGAATTGGAAATTAAAGATGGCAACACATCGATTGGTATTGTTTCCTGAGGTGTAAATGGTGACCTGTTAATTTCTATTGTTTTTTGAAAAGAATCGGAATTTATTGTGCTGGATTTGGCCGGTGAAGTAAATACACATTCTCGAAATTTTAATTTTCTAATGTTGGGATCTTTTGCAATTTTCGGTTGATATTTGTAACCAGGATATATACGTTTATGTTTCTCGCGAGCTATTTTCGATAATATTTTAAAAAAATCTTTGACTTCTTTTGATTGCAGTTTCCACTTCCTACTGCATTCCTTTGCTGTATGTTTAACAGTTTGTTTAACATCATGATTACGTAGGCGAAGATTAGCTTCATAATCTTTTCGAAAGATAATAAAGCTGTTCTGTGGTCGTGGTGGTTTATCATGATTATTGCTTTTTTTCTTGGATGGCTTTGTTAATTCTTCAATTGTAAGGGTAAGCACATAAGGACATTTGATCAATAACGTTCTTTCTGTTTCTGATAAATATTCGATATTATTCATATCTTCTCAAGTTAATGATGTTTGAGATTGTACAAAATCAAGTGACCTTTTCGACAGAATTACTGAAAGTGAAAGGTTCTCGAATGGCTTAGTATCATGCTGTTTCGTTTGCATATAGAAAGTTATGCTTTCCAAGTAGTGTCAAATTCTGGAGCACAATTTATATCGTGTAATGATTTATATTTGTATTATTTTAAAAGTTTATAATATAATGAAATTTTTGTGATAGAAATTAAATTATTATAAAGGAAAAATTCACTTTTATAAATTTTTTGATTATAAACAATGATGTCATCAGAGCCAAATACAAGTTAAATCCGTACTATGAAGTTTAACCTTTGTCTGCTAAAAAGTTATAATAATAATTACGTAATTTATAGTTATTCCTAATATAAGACCAAAGTTCTAAGTGGAAAGATATTTTGAGCTCATAGGGTGGCTGTGTACTTAAGAGTATTTTGATTAATAGGTGCAGACGATATGGTTAAACTCAAGTCTTGATAATCTGATTGATTTATTTGATTGATCGATTCGTTTTACCAAATTTTAATGCTCGTTGTATTGATTACAATTTTAACAGGAATTTTTATTGATATTGTTGCAATTTTTACAGTTGATTTTTTCGTTTTGAAAATATGCTTTTCTCCGTTATATCTCGGGTACAATTTTTATCATGTAATGACAACTTTGTAAGTGTGATATCCTTACATTATTAAATATTTTAAAAAGAGATAAGAGTCTTATGATATGGAGAAACTCTACTTAAACCTATTCAATATAATATATACTCGAATGGAGATTCACAAAGGATGAAAATATAACTTTCTTCAAATGTTGTGAGTTTTTTTTCGCGATCAATTTGAGTTGGATAAATTTACTATTTACTTTTGTTACCATAATTGGATAACTGAATTTTCTATAATGAAAGCAAGATTTTCAAGGTCAAATGACATCTTACTGATTATCGTTATAGAATACATGTACATGTGTTAATCCTGAATTTTATAAATTACATAACTTAATAAATAAATATAAAATAAACAATATATTATTATTTTCTATATAGAACTCATTTACGA